AGTGGGAAAGAAACTAGACAGCAGCGACACGCATGCACCGTAACTGAGTTCGAAATAGGAATTATTTAACTGCATTCAGTTCGCCTTCGAAGGGAGAAAGGCATTGCCCTTTTGTAAACAAATGTTCAGCACGGCTTGGAAGATATCCATTTGAACACACTCGAGGATACAAAACGGAAGAGATGTAAAAAAAAAACAAGCGAATATGCTGGAAAATGGGTTCTTACCGCAACCTCAGTGGGCCGGACTGGTTGTAAGCCCAAAAAGGCAGGCGTCTGCTGACTGGCCGCTACAGCCGTTGGAGGGATAGCATAGACCTGCTGAAAACCGTCCGAGGGAACCACGGCCTGGGGCTGAAGGATGATCGGGCGCTGCTGTTGGGGCTGTCCGGGAGCAGACGCTGCTGCCGCAGTAGAGAGAATGACCCCTGCCCCCTCAACAACATCTTGCTGAGACGACCAGGGCTTAAGCGCAGGAGAGTTTGAGGCAACGCTGGTGCCCTGTAACTGCGGTGGTCGAATAAAGCGAACTCTAGAAGCGACGGGAGATTGAGGCAGCGGTTGCTGTTGTGACTGAGCACTAGAGGCCGGTGCGCCAGCCATCGGTGATGCGAACGTAGTCGAAGTAACGAAACGTGGAACTAGATTGCTCATCTGTGAGATGGGCTGCATTACAAATGCGGGCTGAACAGCAAAGTTTCCAGATGACTGATATGCAGGTCGGGTGATTTGAATAGGTGCGGCGGTTAGCGCGGGGGGTGCAGTAATTTGTTGCGATTGGGTTGTGGCGCCGACCAAAACGACACTTTGGGTACTTGTGGTGGCATGAGTCGAGATTGGATTAAATCCTCTGGAATGGAAGGATAAGTAAACAAAGGCTTAACAGTGGCATCGGTAAAACTCTTACGGCTCTATGAATTTCACAGTATGGGCCATGAAGATAGCAAACAAAGAGTGAAAGGAACGTAGCCCTGGCAGCAGGCGTATGAAGTACGCGCTGATAGCAAACAGGACAAATGGTCATTTTCCAAAACTATGATAGAGCTTCGCAGATAATTGGATTTATCAGATTATGCAAAGTTGCATTGCCAGAGTATGCTTCGGATGTTAATCATGATCCCGAGGTACATAAAATAGATTACAATCTTAACGTACTCAAGCAAGGGCATGATCATAAAGTCGTTGCACAGAAGTTACTATCGTAGCATTTGCATACTACTCTTTGGCTCAGTGACAAAGTAAGGTAAAAATAAGGAAATACGAAAGAAGAGAAAGAACGAGGTGTAAAAAATCGACAATTGCTGAGGCAAGTCCTATTAAGTGTTTCATAAGCTATCAAGGCCATTTATGAATCGCAGCTGTTGATGATATATTT